GCTATTCAAGAGGTTATATACAGGGGACCTCAATTAGAACGGTAGCAAAATCACACAATATCTCATATTCTGCACTCCAAAGATACGTAGATAAAGCAAAATCTTTAGAAGATATTACAAATTTTGAATACAGCCCAAATATAACAGTACGACAAATTTTCACTGCAGAGGAGGAGACACGAGTTGCCGATAGTATCTGACGAAATGCTCGAAGATGCATTATGGACTAACATCTACTCAAGCACGGCAACTGGGATTCAAATATGCAAAAGCTTTAAAAAAGCCCCTCACAGAGAAACAAGAGGCAGAAGAGAAGCTTGGTCGGGAATGGTTGTTTGGTTTATTGAGGCGAAATCCTGACTTGTCGATTCGTGTTCCAGAAGCAACCAGTCTTAGTAGGTCAACCAGTTTCAATAAATTCAATATCAACTGTTTTTTTGATAATGTTGAGACAGTATACAAGCGACACACTTTCAATGCCAACGATATTTGGAACTGTGATGAAACCGGCCTTACAACTGTTCATAGGCCTCCAAAAATCATTGCACAAAAAGGCATGGAACGAGTTGGCCAAATAACATCTGGAGAGAGGGGGCAGCTGGTCACTTTGTGTGCTTTCGTAAGTGCAGCTGGAAATACTATACCACCGGTATTTATATTTCCTCGACAGCGAAACTTGGATGTATTGGGCAATGGAGCACCACCTGATAGTCTGATTTTGGGACATCCATCAGCCTGGATGACAGCTGATAACTTCGTGCGTGCTTTCAGACATTTTGTTGAGAATTGTCGATGTTCAAAAGAACGACCAGTTGTATTGTTCCTAGACAATCATTCGAGTCATGTTTCCCTCGAGCCAATCGAGGAAGCAAGAGAACATATGGGGTGCACTTGATTACGTTTCCACCGCACTGTAGCCATAGGCTACAACCATTGGATGTATCCGTATATGGTCCTCTTAAAGTCTGATATAATCAGGTCTGCGAAGAATGGATGACATTCCATCCTGGTAAACCAATCACAATATACAATATCGCAGATTTGGCGAATAAAGCATATACTTTAGCATTTTCAAAGCAAAATATTATGAAAGGTTTCGAAAAAACGGGAATTTGGCCTCTCAACAGAAATATATTTTCTGATGAAGACTTCATGATGTCCTCTGTCACTGATCGACCTGATCCAAGTGGCGTCGAACAAAATCAGCCTACACCGAACTCATTGTATGACGACACTGAATTGCCTTGTGGTTCACACAGTGACCAGCCTCAAGCAGAACACACTGACTCTGTTGATAGGATCATCGAAATGAAAAGACCTCGTACTCCAATTGCTTCTACTAGTGATAAGGTAGTCTTGATTGAAATTGTATTATGTATCGAACTGTCTTTATTGTTTCAGAAACTTCTACCACAGGATATTGTGCCTTTTCCAAAAGCATCCCCGCGTAGAACAAATCGTAAGGGACAGAAACCAGGCCGTACGCGCATTTTATCGGACACTCCTGAAAAAATTGAAGTCGAAGAAACCTCAAAAAAAAGAGTTAAATTGAATTTCACAACCAAAAAGGCGTCTGTCGCTCCGAATTTGAAAAAAATCTTCAACAAAAAAAATACAACCTATGAAAGCTCTAACAAGTGAAGAAGATGAACCAGATTTGTCAAATTCAGACGAAGATTTGACATAGGTACGAGCCAAAAGATCCAACTGATATGAGTTCGACTTCGACACGGACAATTTAGAGATTGGCAATTTTCTTTTGGTTAAGTTCACTACCAAAACGACAGTGATTCACTATGTAGGCCGTCTCGAATCCCAAAATATTAGAAAGAACGAGTACGAAATTAACTTTTTGCGAAATAAAGGAAGGGGATTCGTATTTCCCAACGTACTCGATCAAAGTACTGTTGAAAAAGAAGATATTATCATAAAACTACCACCGCCTTCTAAAACTGGAGGAAGCGACAGAGTGTTTTCCGTGTTCTATTTTGACGTAGACCTTAGTTCTTTTGCAAATGTTCGTTAGTAATAGAAGTTCAAATTCGATCTGAATATGTTCCGATGTATTGACTTCAATGACCCAATCCTCCCACTGTCTGAATTCACCCTGACCCATTCCACCTGCGAGCAGGAGGAATGAGTCACGAGTACATGATCTGTTAATTTAATTACATTATTTTGTTCGTTACGGAATATAAAATATCTCACTGATACTGATTACTGTTGCATGTATATTGGACCTCCATGAAGAAGTCTGCAAATTTCCGGATAGTTTGAAAAATATATTTGTAACTATTAAAAATGACCCATTCCTACCCACTCCCCCTACTACAAATTTATCAAAATTCACTGGATTGTACAATGCTGAATTTGTTTGTTTTGTTCATCACCTCCGCTATTTCCATTTTGCCGCTCGACAAAAGACGACTGGGGAAACAGTGACGTCAGGCCAGAGAAATATGGCACGTATTCAAAACGCCCCGATAACAGGCATAGGCAAGCTTTTAGACCAATCACAACGTTGAATTTCACGCGTGCGTGTTTCGGCTTAAGTTTTTGAATTTGGAATAAACATCAGTCTCGGAGTTCTGGATCACAAGTTATGGCAGATTTTTATCACGATAAGAGTATTGATTTCGATCGACTCATTGTCAATGAATTTGAAATAGAGGTAAAATACGCACGCACATCACCCAATATACAATCACAATAATGATATCTGTGTTAATTCATGTTAATATTTATAAAACGTACTTCCTCTTCGGACCACGAAAATAAAGGAGATGGTAAAATTGCATGTATCATGCGACGGCTTTTTTTTCAAAAATTTTTTTTGTACTTCGCATTTAGAACAATTTGCTCTTCTTTTTTCATCATTGGACAATTTATGTATATCACAATGTACGACACATTTTTTTCTATTATATGAACTAGAAACATGATTTTCTTGTGATTCATCCATATTAATTGAAAAGAAGGAAGAATATAATTTAAAGTGATGGTGTGTGTAAATGTCTTTCAAATGCATTGACTTGATTAAATAGCCGTCATCTCATACTTGTTCTCCATATATAAATGTGATATCATGAGTATATAAAGTGTACAATGACAAAATTTAAAGAGCAAAAGTAGTATATGTGAATGCGCAACTAACACGAGGGAAAAAAGAAGGCGAAATTTTTAACTGTATCTTTAAATATCTCGATATCAGGGCCGGGGCAAGGACTGGGTTTCGACTCTCCGAGGCACTTCTTCCTGTTAACTTGGACTAAGTGAGTATGGGTCCCTTAAATGGCATACCGACTTAGAACATCGATAAACCCTGTGTCGCGGGCCAACAGTCTATAAGTACCAAAAACATTTTTCGAAAACGAACCCGTCGCATGATAAATGCAGTTTTACCAAAATATATTTTCAGTTACAGCAATTTGTCCTAAATTCCATTCTCTAGTTCCTATCACATGCTTCATCAATTGCTAATCAATATATTACCAGACACTTGGGAAATAATTCATTGATCATTATTCGATGTATGACTAGGTGATTCAAAATCGCCAAGACCCGCGATTCGAATTTACCGCCAAGGCCAAAATTGACCCGATTGGTCTAAAAGCTCATCTTAGGGTCCCTTTACAGATCCTCGTCTCCTCTCACTCTAGCATTTGTGAAACAGTTATTAAATAGTTCCATCCTTATTCAATTCTGGGGATAAACCAGTGGGATAAACACTAGATTTTCAACATTCGTTGTTTTTTAGGTTATATTGAGGTCACTGGCGTATCATACGTAATACCCATATGGAATTCCTGATTCAACAATACCAAGATATAGATTACCAATCCTCTAGTTTTAGAGTTTACTACTCCAGCATAATCTTTGCGAGGTAGGAAACATATAAATCGCACTGGAAGCTTGATATATTTCACCAAAAGAGACTGTTCTCAGACTGTACACCAGGGTTGACTGAATTGGCTAAATGAATTCTGATTTCAAGCTGAGCAGGAGTTTATCTATGAGCTGAATGAGCTGAGCGTTATGATTAAGAAATGGTGGAAACCTGGATATGGGGGTATCTGAACTAGTACTCATGTCATGTGTGCTAAATATATTTTCGGAAATCCAATTCGGAGAAGAATTTATAGAGTGACTAATATCACACTATGTATAAAACTCCGTCTAGGACGAAAAGTAGGCGGATGAAAAGTAATACGTGAAATATGTAGAAAAATGAAGAATAGAATATACTTTACCTCATTTTTCCGTCTCCCTTGAATAAAAAGCCATTTTCGAATAATTTCATTGATGAAAGTAACAAAGAAGTAGGTATGCGCACTATAACTTATAGGCACGTTATTTTACTCTTGCATCCTACATATTTTTTATTTGTGGTAGAGATATAATCATATAAACTGATGTATTTCGCCATATTGGATCCGTCATCTTGAATTTTCCAATTTTTACCAAACAATCATTATCTTCTACCCCGAAAACCCCTAGATACCAATTTTGAAAAAAATCGGATCTTCATTACAAAACTCGTCCACCATATTGGATCCGCCATCTTGAATTTTCCAAGTTTGACAAAACATCATCTCCAACCCCCGAAAACCCCAGATATCTTCCAATTTTGAAAAGAATCGGATCGTATAATTACAAAAATCGTTCGCAATATGATCTTCCTCAACAAGAAAATGAATGATTTTCTGTAGCGCCCATGGATGTGACGTGACAGTAATGTCAGGGATGCCAGTAGGCAAAAGTCAAAAGTAAAGTTTCTAGATTATTAAAAAAGAATGCAGCTATGATCTGTCCGTACCCTGTTTAGATGACTTTAACGTCAATTTTCATCAAGGGACCCTAGCTCATCTTATTAGTGTTTCACAAGGCATCTTATGCAAATTCTACTAATTTTGCGCTTTTATGTTGGCAGCATTGCGCTTTTTATAACCTCAACACCGGCAACAGTGCCTACTTGTGATGAGTGTCATGTGTCATTGTCATGTTAGCAGGTTATGGTTATATTTATATTCAATCCAGTCACCATTCATCAGTTTCATCACGTTTTATCTACAAAATGATAGCTAATAAGTTGTTAGGAGTGTTAAAACATTCCAATTCTCCATTATTAGGCCTCAATTCGAATGTAATAAAAGCTTGTATCTTTGCCTCTGTTAAATCTTTCAGTAAGTCCAGTTCATGAGATCCCCATTCCAAATTAAACATTGAAACTGTTATTTTGCAGCATCTAGATCTCTATATTCAAAGGCTACATTGGGTTTGGAGGCTTTTGATAATCAACGTCAAACAACTCAAAACCAAATGGAAAATATAATACCAAAGTTCAAAGACAAGATGTCCGAATATGTTACAGAAGGTAGTAATCATATGGTTTTCACAGAAGATTTGAAAAACATGATTCACATCTCCAATGAAGATAAAGATCTGGATCTCGTAGGAAAAATGATAAGGAAGTTCAATCAACAGAATAAGGAAATGCGTTTTGGAAGCTATATATTTGGTCCAGTGGTTTTACGCCTTTTTCATCACTTCAATAAACCCCACATAGCATTAGAAGTGAGATAAAATATCAAACTGTGGACTTTCAGTTAGCACTCTTTCATTTCTAGTGTTTCAAATCACCAGAGTTGGCAGGGTTTTTTGATCAATTGATATCTTACCAAATTTTGCTAGATCTTCTGTATGAGAATCATATGTATAAGGAAGTATTAGAATGTGTAGATATCATCAAGAGTAGACAAATAGATGGGATGAAGTATCCGAAGAATATCATAGTGTTAGCTATGGCAGCTTGTTATAAGTTGGTAAGTACCCCTGTAAACATTCAAGACAGCAAGCAAATAAAAAGAGAATAACAAAAACAATAAATTGTAATGATGCAAAGTAGTACATCTCAATAATGATAAGGATAGTGCAAGGAATAACTGCTTGCTGCCTTGAATTTTGTTATCTAGGTATAGATATTAACCATTTCTGAAAACATTTATGGGAATATTATATTTAATAGGGTCAAACAGTAGATTTACCTTGCTAAAAATCCAGTAGTTGATTTTATCATTATTCTATTTGGATTACTGAATCTGAATCTGGAATTATCCAACAAAATTTGAGATTCACAAGAAACAGTGAATTTTCTGCACTTTTTTTGTGTTTTCACCTTGGTTTTCACTTATAGGTAATTCAAAAAGTATGTGAGGTAGAGGTAAAATTACTCAAATCTTATCTAAAGTAGATTGAATTTTCCATAATTTAAGCTCAACCACAGCACAGTAGGTCCAGTAGTTTCCAAGATACAACACTTCAAATATGGGCCAATTTTTTCAAAAAAAGGAAAATTCAAGTTTTCAGTCAACTTTTGAATTAGATATTATAGAAAAAACTGATGAAAATTGAATTTTGGTAAGATTCCATCTGAACATTCTCATGGCTAGAAAACTTTGCCGTCCTCTCATAAATTCACTTCAACTTGTGTTTTATATATAAGATGATAATCATAGCTAGAAAATAATCAATGATTACTGACATTAATATGTGTGAAACACTTTGTACAAAGTTAATGTGTTGAGACAGCCTTTCATTCAATGCTGTGTGTGGATGAAACCACCCAGAAAAGGCTTTCCCTCTTCCTAGTTTGTGAAAGTAGAGGTTTGCTAGTGCTGATAAGCCTATCCACAATTCAAGTTCTGTATCTTCCTTTTCTTGAGATACCTTTGGAAACATCTAATATCTGGTTGAATTAACAATAGGTATTTGAGAAATTATTGGCCCTTTACATCATTCAACCCATCAGCTTCTGAAATCCATAATTCAATTGTTGAATTTATGACAAATTGATATTCACCATATAGGACATGGAAAGAAATTCGACATGGCAAGTAGCCAGGAGAGGAATAAACCAAGGAAGAATTGATATTTTCATCACATAGTGAATGTGAATTCTCAATGAATTTTTTCATATATGTATATAATATATTATATTCTCCATTTTTTCATGTTCATAATTTATCTGACAATATTCCTTTTGAATTCATGAATTCAACAAAAATGCTGAGAAGGATCCCAGAACGTTGACAGAAGAGGTCCTCCCCTACATATCTGAATTATCAGTAATATTTTTCCACAATAATTATAATCTTCCATGTGAAACAGAAGTAGAATGAATTCATGGAAGAATCATGAAGTTTTCAAGTCATGAAATCTTGCCAGAAATAATTTCTCTTATTTTTAGTTTTTTTGCAAATTATGATTCAGCCATTTGATCTAAGCACATATTGCTCCAAATGTGAATTGAAACTAAAAGTATTTGCTACTTTGCTACAATTTTACTTCTGCCAATTTTCCTCATAGGATCAGTATTTTCTCCAATATTTAGCTCAAAAATGGCTGACAACCTAATATCAGATTTTTTTAACTAATTGGCCCATATTTGAAGTACTGTATCTCAGGAACAACTGAATGGTGCTGTGACTAGGCTCATATTGTGGCAAATTTGATCTTATTTGAACAAGGCTCATATTATAAACATTTCACTAGAAAGTGGTTTTATACCAGGCATATGGAAAACTGCTATCATTCAAGCCATACCAAAAAACGATAAACCCGTTGAGATGAAAGATCTTAGACCAATTTCAATACTTCCGGTGGGTTCTAAGATATTAGAAAAATCTGTTAACTTCCAGCTGTCTGCACAACTCCAGAGATATGATGTTTTACCTCACAACCAATCTGGTTTTTGCAAAGGTTATAGTACAGGAACAGCCTTGTCTTCGATAACAAATGATATTGTCATAGCACGAGACAGAGGTATGGTTACGGTTGTAGTACTCATTGACATGTCTAAAGCATTTGATACTGTCAGCTTTGAACTGTTACTGTCCAAACTGCAATACTACGGAATCAAAGATGAGACACAGAAATGGTTCACTAATTACCTACACCAACGCAAATGTTCAACTAGAATAACAACAGCAGGCACTACAAATTTTTCTGACTCCTGACCTGAGAAGGTTGTTTATATATGTATGCTGATGACATACAATGTTTATACAGTTTTGCACAAGACAAAATTGGATATGTTTTCAATTCCATAAACACTGAAGTTCATTCTATTGTAGATTGGTGTTACAATAATAGTTTATCAGTTAACCCTACAAATACTCATATAATTGTTTTTGGATCAAAAAACGATATAACAGCAGTGAAAGAAACTGGTAACATTGCTATCAAAAATGTGATTGTGCCCCATTCGACGTGTATTAATAATTTGGGATCACGAATGGATGAACAGTTATCGTTCAATGAACACATAAGACTTCATGAAACTGGAACATCTTTATCAAATCAGAAATGTGCTATTGACTAGAGCTGAAATCATATTCAGTGACTCTTTGGTGTTATCCTTGTTCAATTACTGTGACTGTGTCTATGCTCCATTTTTGACAGAAGCTAACAAGTCTAAGATTCAAAGGGTACAAAATGCATGTATTTGATTCTGTTTCAATTTGCGACGTAGAGAAAGCACTAGTGGAATTATTAACAATATTGGGTGGATGAGAATGAATGAAAGAATCAATTGCATATTTCATCTTTCTTATTCAATGTTTATAAAACAAAGTCACCTGGATATCTATACAAAAAGCTCACATTCAGGAACGAAATACATGATAGAGATACTCGCTATCAAATGCATCTGAATATACCTCATCATACTACAAACTTCTTCAAATATGGCTTCTCATATATTGCTCCGAACATAATGAAACAAAACTCAGGAAGTGAAATCACTAGTTTGCAAGCTTTCAAGAGAAATGTGAAATCTAAACTGTGATATAAGTTTAGGCCATTACTGATTTTTTTTCTATGCACTATTGAAGTACCTATTTTTTATTCTTTCTTACAGTTGAATAGATAAAGTTGAGAATTATCCTTTCAGATGAACTTTACTACATAAGGTAAAGTTTCGTGATAGTAACTGCAGGCTGTGACCCCTATTATTAATCTCGCTGTAATCGAATATGACCCTTGTTGAGATAGGAAAGTATAATAAAAGTAAATTTATTTATTTATTATTATGTTTTTATTGGATAGTTATAGATTCAAATTCAGCAATCCAATCAACATAGGGAATGATAATAGAACCGACTACTGGTTTTTTTCAAGGAGAGGGTGTATTTCGATACCATTCGCCTGTATTAATTTTGCAGAATACAAAAGAAAGTTTAGACTGTGCTTTGAAAATGTGGCAAGAAATAAAAGAAGTGGGTCACTTTCCTATGAGGAGAGCCACCACTTTTTGTGCAGGGTTGGCATTGAATCAAGGGAACCCTGGAGTTGCATTGGAAGTTCTCACATCTGCCAGAAATCAACATTACACTACAGTACGAAATCTGAAAGTGAGTGAGGATAATAGTGATAATACACAATGCTTTTGTAATACTAGTTCTGAATACATTCATTTTTTGACAATATCCATTCTGAGCAATTTTTTGAAGCAGGTCATTTTAAATCTAAATTTGCCACATTTATAAGAGATACAGGGTGATCCAGATTTGAGTAATGACATCTCTCAAATGAAGCTCTCTATATATTCAATTTTTGAAATCTCCATGTAAAGCTATATCCAAAAATATTTCACACATAGGGTTTGAATTTTGTATGCAATGGAGTATGAGATAATAATTCTCCTATAGGAAATTTGATAGAATGCCCAAATGAAAATAAGAGAGTACTGAACTCAACGGCCAAACAATACAAAACCTATGTGTCATATATTTTTGAATTCCATATACATTTCCCAAACTTGATGATATGTCATGGACGTCATTACTTGAATGTGAATAACCCTGCATATTTGATTTTCTCTTGGATTTTTCCTTATAAATCTGTCAAATTGAGATACAAAATTGACCTGATTCAGGAGATTCCTTAAAACAGGATAGTTAGGCTAGAAATTAATTTATTCACAACTTTACATATTCGCTTCTCTCTTTTTCTTCAATCAGGAAGCCAAGTACTAATCTCAGAATGAAATTTAAAAAAATACATAACTGACACTGATCACCAAACAAACTTGCAACAAACATGGTCAGAATAAAACTACTTATTCTTAATACACTAATGTATAGACACCTGCAACAAATATTGCCAAGAAAAAACTTGACAATCTTGCAACCAATGACAAAAAACGCCCCGACCCATAGCGCCGCTATCATCGCTTTTGATTTGAAAAACATGAAAGGAAATGAAATTAGTAATCAGATACTGGGATACCTATTATGAGTCGAGTCTGATTATTATTTTTTCAAATTACAACCGTTTATTCAGATTTTTTGGGATTTTCTCATCGTTTCTTTTGAATAAAAATATGAGTATCATTTATACCAGGTGTCCCAAGTTATCCTATACAGGCAATATCTCGCTTATATGCCAAGATTATCAGAAAATGAAGAAATTGCTTTGAATGACATTGAAGCACCTCCCTAATGACTCATAAAAAATGGATTACATTTGAAAGCCCTGTGGTAGCTACTTTTCATATTTTATTTTCAAATGATATACCCTGTATTTTAATCCATAATCGGTTAGGGATTTTCATAACGAATTCAACGATACCGGGTTTGATAGGGTTATTTCAAACGATTATGGAGATATTCGCGTTCTAAATTTCCATATGCTCAATGAGCGTGACAGAGAAAGAAGTTCTGGTATTACACCATCACACGTCAAATGGCAATCAAGTAGACATGAAATATTGATGAAAACAATTGTATTTGATGGGTGTGAAATATCAATCTCCAGTTTTCTGACTTATTCCAAATTATTAGGTAGGTAGGTATATCAGTGACAACTGTCAGTTTTCATAAGGGTTGGAATTTAATAATCAGGCAATCCATTGACCTGTCAAACTATGCGCTGGTTGGCAAACAATGAAAATATTTATGTGTGATAAATCGATTTTATTCGCGAATTTCTGTAGGTATCAGAAGGTCAAGTCATATATTCAAAGAAAATAACAAATATTGAGTATTTTATCGATTTTATATATGGTGCATCCTGTATGGTGTCAACCAGGCCATTATCATAGTGCAAGGAGGTCCATGGATCAGAAATATCTCATGAGTATTGATTGATACATATTCAATTGAGTAAATTATAATATGCATGGTCTATCCCGTCTTGACTCAAGCCACACCTATATTCCAGAGTAGAAATGGAAATTAGAGAATTTTTTGTTTATTCTGTAGTTGTTAGATACCAGAATAATGACATTGCATAAAAATCTAATGTATCCAAGCAATCCAGATAACACTAGAGTCACTGGATGGTATTAGTTTGATAAGAGTTCGGAAACAGAAATGACAACTGTTAGGGTTTTTGAATATTTAGATTCATTAAGTTACACACCTTGTATTGTGACAATAGCACCATAGTCGTCCCGCGCTTTTTATTCAAAATTGTTTGAATTTGACAATAAATTTTATGAACGTGAGATTTGAAATAAAATTCTATAATTTTACTTTCGATAAAAAAGCAGCTATGGAAATCACTTGCTGTGTAATAAATTGTGCAAAATCTGATAAAAATGGATATAATGTTTTCAATTTTCCAAAACAAATATCAACCATTCGCTTATGGAAGGAAAATACGAAACGGCCTAGGTGGAAAATCAATTTCAAGACGAGCGAAATTTGTGAGGTACTCATTAAAATTCTCTTCTTATAACAGCATCTGATCAGAATGGAACTATATTTTAGGCCCAGTTACGAACAGAAGATTTCAAAATCTGTTTGAGAGAATCTGCTGTTCCATCAATTTACAAAGCAGACGATTTCAAGAACAAAATTCCATTATTATCATCACACAATATACAGAAAAAAATAATCATGGAAAGAGGAAATGACCGTAAAAATACATAATGGAATTGGAAGTTTGAAAACAAAAATAAGAAAAGCAAGGAAACTACAACGTGATATATTATTGAATGGCGTTTTTAATACCGATCAAATTGAAAATTCAACAGTGAAAAGTGAATAGTTATTTATGTATCAAGAGGTTATCGTTTTGGAGATATTTTCTACAACGATCCATGTTACTTAGCTCCTAGGGCGCTAAGTGGAGTTGCTGATAACTTTACAGAAAAAAGTATTTGGTAGGTCTCGTCAAAATAAACTACTTTTTTCCAAGGAAATGTTCATCGAAAAATGATTTGTTCTCTGTGTTTTAACACCCTGTATCTCCGAAATGAAACATTTCCGGACACAAGCTTATATAGACTTTATTTCTTGAAATTGTCTCAGGAATACTTCACTTGAACGTATTCATGTTACTCCCTCTATATTTAAAATACATACCTTTGATTAAATATTAATAACTTCATGTTTTATACTTATCACTGGAGTACAGTTTGACATACAATAAGGAATTATAGATATAAGTTCATCCATATGTCTATATTTTCTAATATTAAAACGTTGGTACATGCATTCTTTCCATTTATATAACAGTTGTTCTGTTAGAAGTGTATCACTATAAATTGAAGTGGGTGTTTGTACCCTATATCCATTGTCCATCTACGGCTATGATTGATTTGACAGAAAATATAACCTCTGAAATCGTATCTGACAATCAGGTGCTTCTGGGGAAATTGAAAAGACAAAGAGCAGAATATATGTCTTATTCTTTTATTCACTTAAACCATTGTATTATAGAAAATAGAAAAGGACAAAAGTTCAGCTGTTTCCGAACTCTTATCAAACTAATACCACCCAGTGACTCTAGATAACACTTCATTCATTTTGAGATGATAGAGACTCAAAATTTCATTTCATATCTGGGGAAACACAAAAGTGATTCTTTTTAAATTCCACACACTTAATACCTCTCTATATAAACCCACGTATACAGTACATCTCAAAAGTTTTCACAGACATCCATAAGGGCTGATGAATGGGTTTCATATCCCTTTTTTAAAAAATAGTAGTACACGCCCCTAGATATTTTCGATAAAATCAGCATCTCACTCAAATGCTTATCTAATTCCAAATGTGAATGTGAAGAATGTACCTGTTTCAAAACTTCAAATTACGTTTTTTTGAAATATAAAATAGAATTAACAAGGAACAAACGAGAATTTAGTTTGTTAGTTTTATTCTTAATTGCGTATACATATGAAAATATAAATAAGAAGTATTATTGAATCGATTTGGAGGCATGCCATCCTTTATACGCACGTGAAAGTTGGAACAATTTCATTAAATTGATATGACCGTTGGGACAAAAAGCTCAGACACGTCAATCGTCTCTTTCAGATGATTGTGCATTTGTTGGTCTCCTCATATTTTTGATGACTTAATCATTAAAAATCACATCATTATGAATGGAATCTTTTTTATTTCCCGAAAATACGGTTATGTAACATGAGAAAAAATATGACGTCCATACACAGAAAAATGCGTTCTTTCTGGTGGTCAGAATTCTGAATCTTGCACCACCCTGTATTTAATCCAATTAAATGCCAGTAGGAAGTAAATCAATAGTTGAGATAGGGCATGTAAGCTGTTTGTAAATCAATAGTTAAGATAGGGCCATGTAAGCCGTTTTGTTCAATAATGAATAATTTCGAGATAAAACATTCTAAAGTTGTAAAATCTCGATTTTGAAGACCCTATATATCTCTGTAATCATTCCTGCTTGACTCCAAGTGTTGCTAAATTGATGAAATCAGCTCTTCAGAAAGAATCCAAAAATTCAATGAAATACAGGTTACTCCAGTTGAAATAACAAAATTGCTACATCTTTCTTATAGAAGAGCCAACACCGCATTGTCGAAAATATTTACTGCCCATTACTCTTGTATTTCCATGGGTAGTCTCCATTTTGCAATAATTATCTATCAACCTTCAAGAATCATGTCAAAAAATCTGAAATTCTCTGTATTTTGAAATAAAACAAAGAAAAATTCTAAATTAGGCATTTTGATAATGAACGCGGACAGTGATTGTATATGGAGAGTGAAAATCATCAAAACTAGAAAGATTTATAATCATAGGCGCCGCCAGAAGAATACCAGGAAGGGGGCTTTTTCTAAATTAAAAGCATTGTATCAAATTGAAATTAGGATCCTTGTGACCAATTTTCACTACAAGTGTGATTCAAAAATATTACCAAAGTGATATTAAAGTAGGCTACAAGTAGGTCAGCTGATAAGTAATATAACAAAGAATTTAAGAAAATTGATATTTTTGAAACAAAACACCTACATGAGAACAAAAATGTCAAAAAAAAGGAAACATGGCTGAAAGATCCAAATCGATGGCATTCTGGAAAACATATTTCATTAAGGTATAAAATGAACTAAAAGCAAAGGAAACATATTTCATAAGAATGGAAAAAC